CTTCCTCCTGGGCTCGCACCCTGTTGTTTACGAGGGAAAGTCACGGGGCTCAAACTGGGCTCCTGGCCCCCAGTTTACAACAACAACGGCTCCCGCCTGATACTTCCTCAGAATCGATTCCCAAGTGGCGCTCTCGCGCGGGACTTCCTCACAATTAATGTGCGCATCGCGCTCTCGCCTGGGACTTTCTCGCAATGTATTCAGACGATGCGCCCTCGGCGCTCAGGAATCACGCTCTCACCTTGGCTTTTCTCACGATTTACTTGGGAAGCGCGGTATCGCTCCAGCAACCCGTCTGCTCGACCTGGTCGCCTGGGCCCGCCTTCCCGACCCGCCCGCCATCGGTCTGCCCACCGAATCTGCCCGTCTGGTTCCACCATTTGCTTTCTGCTCCTTGCCCCCCTCCTGCTAATTTCTCTGGTGCTCCATTCTTCTCCCTCCCCTTTCCACCCGTCCTCTCTTCCCTTGATTTAGGGGCTGCGCTACATGCACGTGGCAGGTCAGGAAGATATGCCCCCAAGGGGGTACGATCGAAGATGACGAGGGCGGGCACCGAGGGTTGGGGATATATGTATTGCTTAGCTCGTGAGCAGATAGGAGCGAACAGTCTTTAAATGATTGTTGTTGTTGCTGTTGTTGTTGTTGCTGATGAATATTAATTTTGAGAGAATAAGTATTGTTGGTCTCCAGAACCGGTTCCGCGCGCTCTCGCCTCGATGCCAGCTACATTTTCTCTGAAAACGAGGTTCCCGCGCAAGCGTTGGCTTAAGCGTAAATGTGTGCCCTTGGAGGCCCAGCTACAACGACAACTGCTCCCGCTCGATACCTCTTCACAATTTATCCCGAGACACCCTGGCCAGAGAGGCCCCGAAACTCAGGAATAGCGCTCCCGCTCGAGATTTCCCCGCAATTCGGTCAAGTTGGTGGAGGCCCAGCCACGACGACAAGGGCTCCTGCTCTATACTTCTTCACGATTTACTCCGAGAGCCCTGGCCAGGAAGGCCCCCGAACTCAGAAACGGCGCTTTCGCTCAAGACTTGCTCGCGATTCAGTCGAATTGGTGGAGGCCCAGAAACGACGACAAGGGCTCTTGGGCTCTTGTTCGATACTTCCTCAAGATGTATTCGCAAAAGGCCCTTGCCAGAGAGGCACCCGAACTCAAGAGTTGCGCTCTCGCTCGAGACTTTCTCGTAATTCAGGCAAGTTGGGCGAGGCCCAGACACGGCGACAAGAGTTCCCTTCGATATTTCTCCATATGTATTCCGAGAGTCCCTGGCCAGAGAGGCCCCCGAACTCAGGAACGGCTCGCTCGCTCGAGAGTTCCTTGAATTCCATTCAGTGGCCGACAAGGAAGAGATTTCCCCTGAAAGGGGTGCAGTCGAAGAAGAAGTCGGCGGGTATCGAGGGTTGGGGTATACAGAATGCAAGACACGCGTGCCAGGAAGAGCGAACAGGCTTAACATGCTTGTTGTTGTTGATGCTGCTGCTGTTGAATATTATTACTTCTAAAGAATAATTATTGTTGGGCCCCCTGGTGCACGCCCCCCTCGCCGCGCCTAGGCCGCAGCCACATTTTCATCATTTTCGTGAGGCAGTCTCAGGCAAAACGGGGGAGTCCGGATCCGGTTGTTTTGTTGGCGCCCGCTTTCCCTGTCAAAAAACAATATAAAATGACATGTCTTGTTCTAACATAGCCAAACTTCAAGAATCCTTTGCAAAAAATGACACGAAGTGCACACTCGCGCGCGCAAGATGAAATCCTTCCAAAACCTTAGTTTTCGTAGCGATTTTAACATAAAAACATGAAAAACCCAATGGTTTTTCAAAAAAAAAGTTTCAAAAATTCATCCCGCGCGCTCTTGCGGATTTCTTAGGAAACCCAATACTTTTTCAACATTTCTGTCAAACGGGCTCTTGCGAGCAACTTTTTCACGTGCTTCGAACTTCTGCAACAACGGTTGCGCGCCTGCCAGGGCCATCATCCCTGTCAAATAATACCATATGGGACACATTCGTTTTTTCTTCGCGCGCGCACGCCGAAATCTTCAAACACCATTGGGTTTCTTAAGAATTTCAGCACCGCGTATCATAAAATCGCACGAATCGCACCGTAGGTCCTCGAAAAACACGTGCACGGATTTTCAAAATTTCTACCCGCGCGCGCTGTCCGAATCCTTAAAAACCAATGGTTTTTCAACATTTATGTTACATGAGCTCGCGCGAGCTACTTTCGCAAGCTCTTTCAACGGCGTTCGCGCGCCTGCCAGGGGCCACAATCCGCCAGTGTAGTAGCCACGCGCCAGTGTAGTAGCCACGGTCGTCCGCAGGCCACGAAGTGAAGTGTCCGAACGTCATAGGGCGGGAAGCTGGGTGTGGGTGGTGGCGAAGAGTCGTTTGGAAATGTGGTAGAGCTTGAACCGGCCCCCCCACAAAGTGGGGGTATTGGCGGGCGTCGTATGAAAACCCTGGCACTGGTGAGAACGGAGTGTCCCCACGCGCTAGTAATTGTTGTTGTTGTTGTTGTTGGTGGTGTGTGTGTGTTTTGTGTGTTTGTGTGTGTGCGTATGTGTATGTGTGTGAGTTGTGTGTTGTAGCTGTTGTGTGCTATATGTGCGGGTGTATGTTGTTTGTGTGTGTGGTATGTGGAGTGTTGCTGTGTGGTGTGGTGTGGTGTGGTGTGGTATGGTGTGGTGTGGTGTGTTGTGTGTGTTGTGTGGTTGTGTGTGTGTGTGTGCGTGTGTGTGTGTGTGTGTGTGTGTGTGTTCTGCCTGTTGTACGTCGGGGCTCGATTTTGAGAGGATGGCTCAGGCGAAACGGCCCTGTTTTAAGAATCGTGTTCAAAAGGGGCTCGAGGTTGGAGGATGTCGCAGGCGAAACTGCAATGTTCGAAGAATTGAGGTCACAACCAATGAATTTCATTATGTTTTCAAAGTGTTCTGTTAAAATGTTTGAAAAGCATGTGTTTTTTGACCCTGGTACCACTGTGTGCATTAGGAGCGTAACCACTTGTCCAAATTTGAGGGCGTCCCTAGCGAAAGGGCCAGACAAATCGCGAATGGGACCAATTAATCGCCTCTTAGATTTGTTCCCTTCGAGAGGTTTGTACGATAATCTGTGTATGTGTGTACATTATACATAGAGGAGGGAGAGACCAATAACATATATATATATAAGATATATATGTATAATATATATATATACATAGAGAGAGAGAGAGAGAGAGAGAGAGAGAGAGAGAGAGAGAGAGAGAAAAAAAACGAGAACGAGAGAGAGAGGCAGAGAGGGATGGAGAACAAGCATGGGAGATAATGACACCAAGGTGGCTGCGGGGAACCCGCTGGCCGTTCCCCCCTTCGATTGGAGCAGGTGATAGAAACATCACGTGCGGGAGTCCTTCAGGCCAGCCTGGCGTCTGTTCGCGTGGAGCCCGCCCTCGAACCATGCTGTGGAGGTGTGGCCTCTCCCCAGCCGTGCCATTGGCCGCGGGGAAGGGAGGAACAGCTAGATTGCGCCGAAGAGGGGGGATTTGGGGAGTGTTTGAATCGCCCCCCCGCAGCCTCTTGGTCTAGGCAAAACTCGGACTTGTGCATTTTTTTTTGGCAAGGACATCGATGAGCATGTTGGGTCATCTTGCGAACAAACACACGCACGAATCAGAAACATGCACGGGGAATGGACGCCCATGTGAGGACGAGAGGTGGGTCTTTGAGGAGGCGCTCGCACGCCTCCACCGGCACAATGTCAATCACCTTCCGCTCATCAGTGCGTATCACCAGTGGGTCCCAATCCCTTCTCAGACAATCCCGCGAGTTGACATATTCATCGCTAAGATCGCACACTCTGCATCACCATCACAAGGGGAACCTCACCCGCCTCTGGGCGAACGGCGCCGTATACCTGCACGCGTGCGCTGGCGTGCGAACCGCCGTCGGCGCGCGGCTAGGCTAGGGAGCCTAAGGGAGAAGTGTTGCGACGCGGCGTGTTGGGGGGGGAAGTGAGGGCAATCTCCTCCCCCGAGTGGCCCGGGTTGCAACGACTGCAGGGGTGAGCTGAGAGTCACAGCCAGAGGCAGCCCAAAGGGCTGGGAGGATATTGTCCTGACCTCCTTCACTCACCCTGCTTCCCTCTGCATACCGTCCGGCTTCGCACCCTGGATCTCCTCAGCTCCCTCGCCTTATCATCATCAGCATCAGCATCAGCATCATCACCAGCACCAGTGCCATCGTCATCGTCATAGCCGTCGTCGTCGTCGTCGTCGTCGTCGTCGGGGTTCTCGTCGTCATCATCGACGCGCCCTGCAGTGATCGATATGATGCTCCCATGGAAGCTGCTGGAGGGAGAGGTCCTGCTTCAGTGACCGGACCAGCTTTATATACCGCAACGCCAGTGAGCCGTGAGCCGCTCGGGGTTCCCCACAAGGCCGCGACGATTTGGGGCTGTGTCTCCGTTGTGCGTTGCCCCTTTGTTGCTGCAATTCTCACCGTAGGATCGTTTCTGCAGTGCCATGGGCAGTGTCAGGATACTTTGCGGGGCAAGTCTTTGTGACAGTGAGTAGTCAGAGTGTGCCAGCAAAGCCAGTGCCGCACTATTCAGCTGGAGAGGGAACGGCAAACGAGCGGGAGGGGTGCAGGAGCAATGCTGCAAATCGACGCCAGGGCGGTGCGGATAGACTGAACGAGTGGCTGCAGGGTCGTTTTGACATTCGGTATAAGCTTTCAATCGTGCCTGAGAGAGGAGCCGGCACCATGCGTCGGCCACGCGCAGAGGGGGGATGGGGAAGGGGGAAGGCTTCTTAAAAGCACCCCTGCTTCTTAGCAGGCGCGCCGGCCTTGTCCGTAGCTGCAAGACTGACGCCTTCTCAGAAGCAGCCTCCTTCTAAGAGGCCTTTCCCCCTCCCCCCACCTAACCCCCCTCTACGCGCCGCCAGCCGCGGCCGCGGTGCCAACTGCTGCCGCTGGAGCCCATGCCGGAGAGAGGAGCCGCACCCCGCGGCCGCCCAGGCGGCTGGAAGCGGGCCCCCGGGTTCGGCGACGATCAGGCACCAAGGCGGGCCGACGAGCCGCCCCGCTCTCTGCGCGCCAGCGCGGCCACGCTGCCGCGGCGAGTGCTGGCGCGAGTGCAGCGCTGACGATGCTGCGCCTGCCTGCCCTCTGGCGCCGAGGCCGCCGCCGCTCTGGTAACTACCCTGGATTTCTTGAGAAGCGGTGGGGGGGGTACCCCCTCGACGAGGCTCAACCTCGCCTCGTCGTCGCGCCGCGACGGGGGTCGGAGCGCCTTCGGCGCGTGGTGGCTGCCCGCGACGGGGGTCGGTGTGGGGCTGTCGGCGGGGGTGACGCCCCCCCCGACGCTGATGAAGAAACTCGGAGTACTCGTCTTGGGGGGGATGCACGCCAGTCGCTGGAAGTGGGTGCAGCCGGATTGAGGCAGAAGATCGAGGTCAGTTCGGGGAGGGTGCCCCAGTGTTCGTCGTGCTTGCTGGATGTTCTCGTGCATCCTGGGGAGGGTACCCTGGGATGTCCTGATCGTTTAGGCCGACGGAGGGTCTAATGTACTTGATGGATGCTCTTCTGGCCGAGGTCCGACTGCATTGCTAGATTGCCAGATCACAATCTGCTTCAAGCGCCTTCCCACGTCAAGGATCCATATGCTTCTGCTGTGTGTGTTATTATTCTCTGGGAGGGCCTGGACCCACCTCATACCTACCTCATGCCTACCTCATACTTTCATATTTGAAAGAGCGTGTTCTACCGCTGCTGGCGGAAAACCGGGGGGGGTCACTACCGGTTCGAACCCCTCCCCCCCCCCTTTCGGAAAACCGGGGGGGGGGTCACTACCGGTTCGAACCCCTCCCCCCCCCTCCCTGTTCATAATGAAAAGGGGGGGGGGTCACTACCGGTTCGAACCCCCCCCCGCCCCCTCGAACTCGAAAGCCGGGGGGGGGTCACTACTGGTTCGAACCCCCCCCCCCCTCGAAAACCGAGGGGGGGTGCGGACAGTGGTGGGGACGGTGGTGGTGGGGACAGTGATGAGGGGACAGCCCGACAGTGGTGGGGACAGTGGGACAGTGGTGGGGACGGTAGTGGTGGGGACAATGGTGAGGGCAATGGTGGGAACAGTGGGGACAGTGGGACAGTGGTGGGGACGGTGGTGGTGGGGACAGTGGTGTGGGGACAGTGGGAATGTGGTGGAGACAGTAGGACAGTGGAGGGTACAGTGGTGGTGGGGACAGTGGTGATGGCGGTGGCGAGGACGGCGGTGGGACAATGGGACAGAGGTACAGTGGGGACAGTGGTGGGGACAGTGGGGACAGTGGTGGGAACAGTGGGACAGCTCAGTGGGACAGCGGAGGAGTCAGTGGGACAGTGGGGACAGTGGGGATAGTCGTGGAGAAAGCTGGGAGAGTGGAACCGTGGTGGAAACAGTGGTGGGGACAGTGGGGACAGTGCGACAGTGGTGGTGGCACTGGTGGGGACAGTAGGGGCGATGGTGGAACCAGTGGGGACAGTGGTGGTGAGGACAGTGGTGCTGGGAACAACAGTGGGGGATGTGGTGAGGACGGTGGTAGGGACCGGGAGTCGTTTGCTGGCGGTGAGAGGGGGGGTGGAGACGGGTTCGAACCAGTAGTGACCCCCCCCTCCGGTTTTCGAGGGGGGGGGGGGGGTTCGAACCGGTAGTGACCCCCCCCGGTTTTCGAGTTCGAGGGGGGGGGGGGTTGGGGGGGGGGGTTTTGCTGGGGGAGGGGGGGGAGGGGTTCCAGCAGGGGGGGGGATTTTCGGAGGGGGGGGGGGGACCCCCGGGTTCCGGAGGAAAAGGGCGGCAATTTTCCACAGTAAAGCGGCGGTGGATCACGCTCTCTCATATTTACATACCTCATACCTCATGTCTGGGCTTTAGACCTACCTTCATGTTTACATACTTCATGCCGTTATACTCTTACACACCTCATACCTCATGCCTAGGCATTATCCGCCCTCGTACCTCATATGTTTCACTTACTTTTGCCAGCCGACGTGTAGGCCCTCTCTGGTTGGCTGGCTGAGAGGCCATGGGCGTCTCGAGGTGTTCAGTTCCAGGGGATGATCATCGGGCGCGTTCCACTACTCTTAAGTCGGGCCTGTCCCTCTACAGGAGGACAATTCGAAAATAGTCCAAAAACAATTGTCCGGGGACGACTTTCTTCATATATTTTTGAGGTATTATTTGTTTTTTCGCCCAAGATCCGCCTGTAGGAGGACATGTCCGACCTAATACTACTCGCAATGTACCTACTCACAAACGTCCGAACAAAACAATCCGTCTTCCGATCTGTAATGTATTATACATCGCCCGCGGCGGATCCATGTCATTTGCGAGTAGTTCTTTTGCGAGTAGTGGAACGCGCCTGTCCAGATGAGCAGGTTTGAAGGGGAGGCTGCTCCCCCCTGCTGGACTCTTGCGGGGCACCCCTGGGGCCTGGACCCACCCCCTGAAGCACGTCGCATGCAGCGTTTCGGATGGGCTGTCAGGGTTGGGATCATTGGCAGCTGCGTCTCAAGAGGTAGTGATGCAGATCGATCGATGGCGTGCTTCGGGCAACGTGTGCCACCCCCCCGGCAGTTCTCGTCGATTTCTTTCCCCTGGCTTCTCTGCTATCTTGCATCTGCCCTTTCTGCAAAATAGTGTAGTCGGCTGCCCACGTGGTCCTGATACTCGGAATCAGCTTTTTATCACGCTGCGTGGGAGCATTTGCTGTGGCAGTTGCATGTGCTTCCCTAATCCCCGTTGCGTTTTTTCTCTGCCATGGACGTAGCAACGCAATCTGTCTTTATGCTCCCGACATCCCCTTTTATTTGCAATTCCAGAAAGACGAGATCGTGATCCTCAGTGAGACAGTGAGAAGATGTGTGCCAGCGTGGACCTCATACAGCATTGGTTGGAACACGCAATTTGGTTGTTACAGTCTGGTGTGAACATGTTCTGGGGAAAGGGTTGGGTTGGCTTGAACTGGGTGGAAGTGCAGTTGCATTGAATGGGCAGCATAGCTGCCAATGTCCTGCACCTTTCCGTTGCCGTTTTGGCTCAAGCTCGCGCCAGGCCTTTCCCAATGTCTTACCTTCGCACGCGCCCCGATTTCGCCATGATGGGCAGAGAGAGGGGGGCATGTTCGGAGCGAGGATTGCTACCGTGCGTTGATCATGGCACCCCGCTCCTATCAGCCGAAAGGGTAGGAGACCGGAAAGTATCGGTGACCGACAACGTGCCCGAAATTGTGACCGAAAACGTCGTGTGACCGAAGAGGTGACCGAAGTTGAAGATCGTCTTGGTTTCGAGACAAACCCTTCGGCCACACACGGGCGCGGCCCGAACTTTTTGGGCGCAAGCTTCGGTCACACCCGGGCAGAGGCCCGGGCACGGTTTCGGTCACGACGCCTCCCTGATAGAGGCGAGGCTGCGTGACGTCGTGATGTCCAGTGCGACCTCCAGGTGTTGGCCGCGGACCTCACCTGCACGCGGCTGCCGCCGAAGCGCCGTGCGCCGTCCTGCTCCGGAGCGGCGGCGCAGGCGCGGCCCGCGGCGGGCCTCCGCGTGCGTGTTGCGGGCCTGGCACGCAGATGCCGCTGGAGCGCTGCACGCCGTCCTGCTCGGGTCGGCGGCCGGCCCCGAGGGGGAAGTGAGAAGGGGCGGGCCCTCTCAGAAGGCTCGGGAGTCCCCCGGCCTTCTGAGAAGTTTCCCGAGGCTTCCGCGCAGGCACGGGGAACTCTTGAGAACGCGCCAGGGCTTCTGGGAAGTCCCGCCGCCTTCTGAGAAGGCCTTCTCCTTCTCACTTCCCCCCCTCGCTCGCCGCCGATCAGGAGCGGCGGCACGGCTGTGGCCTGCGACGCGCGGCTGTCGCTGGAGTGTGCAGCGACTTCCTGCACGCATTCCTGCTCGGGAGCGGCGGCACGGCCGTGGCCCGGGGCAGCGCCTGGGGCAGCGATGGCTGTTCGGTGCGACCCCCAGGTGGTGGTCAAGAACCCGACATACACGCAGCTACCGCCAGAGCGTTGAACGCCGTTCTGCTCAGGAGCGGCCGCACGGCCGTGGCCTGCGGCTGCGATGGCTGTTCTGTGCGACCTCCAGGTGGTCGCGGACCCGACCTACACGCAGCTGCCGCTGCTTCGCCGTCGTGCTCAGGGGCGGCGGCCTGGCCATGGCCTGCGACTTCGATGGTTGTTCTTTAGGTGGTGGTCGCAGACCTTACATACACGCACCTGCTGCCGAAGCGCTGCACGCCGTCCTGCTCAGGAGCGGCGGCACGGCCGTGGCCTGTGGCTGCGATGCCTGCTGATTGTGGCCGCCATGTGTTCGCCGCGGACCTGGCCTACGTGCAGCTCTCACCGTAGCGCTGCACGCCGTCCTGTTCAGGAGCGGCGGCAACGCCGTGGCCTGCAGATGCCATGGCTGTGCAGTGCGACGTCTAGGTGGCCGACACGCAGCTGCAGCTGGAGCATTGCACTCCGTCCTAATCGGGAGCGGCGGCACGGCCTTGGCCAGCGACTTCGATGAGTATGCTGTGTGACCTCCGGGTGATGGCCGTGGACATGACATAGATGCGGCTGCCGCTGAAGCACTGCCCGCCATGCTGGCTCCTGGTGCTTGTCGCGGACTTGACTGGCGCGCAGCTGCAGCCGAGGCGCGCCACACCGTCGTGCCCGTGAGCGACGGTGCGGCTGTGGCCTGCGGCCTCGAGGTGCTGGTCGCGAGCCTGATGTCGACGCAGCTGCCGCCGGAGCGCCGTACGCCGTCCTGTGCAGGAGGAGCGGCGCGGCCGTGGCACTGCAGCTGCAATGGCTGTGCAGTGCGACGTCCAGGCATTGGCCGCGGACCTGGCCGACACGCATCTGCAGCGGGAGCACTGCGCGCCGTTCTGCTCAAGAGCGGCGCGGCACGGCCGTGGCCTGCACCTGCCACGGGCCGGACGCTGCGGTCTCCGGGTGCGGACCTGACCTGCGGTCACCTTCCGCCGCCTCGCCGCCCGCCGTCCTGCTCGGGAGCGGGCCTGGACGCGGCCGGCAGATTTGATGAACGTTGGTCCCAGTCTCCAGGTGCTGGCCGCGGATCTGACCGACACGCAGCTGCCGCTGGGAATCGGTGGCACGGCCATGGCCGGCGGCTTCGACGGCTGTCCGCTGGGATTCCCAGGTGGTGGTCGCGGGTTTGACATGCGCGCCGCAGCCGCTCAAACACCACACGCCGTCCTGCTCAGGAGCGGCGGCACCGCCGTGGCATGTGGCAGCTATGGCTGCTCGGTGCGACTCCCACGTGGTAGTCGTGAATCCGAGCGTTGCACGCCGTACAGTTCAGGAACGGCGGCACGGCCGTAGCCGGCTGCTCCGATGGTTGCTCAGTGCGACCTCTAGGTGGTGGCTGCGGACCTGACCTGCACGCAGCTGCTGCCCGAGTGCAGCACGCCATCCTGCTCAGGCGTGGCCTGCAGCTTCGTTTGGTGCGACCTCCAGGTTCTGGTCGCGGACTTCACTTTCACGCAGCTGCGGCCGGAGCGTGCCACGCCGTCCTGCTCGTGAGCGGCGGCACGACCGTGACTTGCGGGCTCCATGGCTGTTCGGGGCGACCCCCAGGTGCTGGTCGCGGACCCGATCTATGCGCAGCTGCAGCTGGCTCGCTGCCCGCCGTCCTGCTCAGGGGCGGCGGCAAAGCTGTGGCCTGCGGCTTCGGTGACACGCAGCTGCAGCTGGAGCACTGCACGCTTCCTGCCCAGGAGCTGTGGCAGGCCAGCGGCTTCGATGGCTGTCTGGTTCGACCTCCAGTTGCCTTTCGCGGACCTGACCTGCACGCAGCTGCCGCAGGAGCGCGGCACGCCGTCGTCCTCAGGAGCTGCGGCGCAGACATGGCTTGCAGCGTCGAAGGGTGCCCACTGCGACCTTCAGTGCTGATCGAGGGCCTGATCTAGAATCTAGGCGCAGCTGTCGTTGGAACGCTGCACGCCGTTCTGCTCAGGAGCGGCGGCACGGCCGTGGCCTGCAGCTCCGATGGCTGTGCAGTGCGACGTCCAGGTATTGGTACCCAGCAGCACCTACGTGCGGCTGCCGCTGGAGCGCTGCGCGCCATGCTGGCCAGGAGCGGTGCACGGCTGTGGCATTCGGCCGGGATGGCTGCTCAGGGCGACCTGGTGATTGTCGTGGATTTGGCCGGCGCGCAGGTGCAGCCGAGGCGCGCTATGCCGTCGTGGTCATGAGCGACGGTACGGCCGTGGCCTGTGCGGCCTCGATGATTGTTCAGTGCGGCATCGTAGGTTTGGTCGCGGACCCGACCTACACGCGGCTGCAGCTGCAGCTGGATCGTGCCACGCCGCCCTGCTCAGGAGCGGCGGCCCATCCGTGGCCTGTGGCTGCGGTGGCTGTCAGTCTGACCTCCAGGTGGTGGTCGCAGACTTACGGCTGCCGCCGGAGCGCTGCACGCGTTCCTGCTTAGGAGCGGTTGCACGGCCTATCGGCCGCGGCTGCGGGTCGAGGTGATCGGGTCGACGCGTCTTCTTGGCGGAGGTCGCGGACCTGGTCTAAACGCCGCTGCCGCGGGAAGATGTGCCTGTTCCGTCTGGCGATTGGCGGTGGCAAGGCCGCGGCAGCTGCTGCGCAGCGCGGCCAGTGTGTGGCCCGACCCAGCAAGAGGCTCCCAGCGCCGCTGCAGGACCTGCTGATGATTCCTGCGGCCGCCGACGCAAGCGAGGCAGCCCTGCGCTCGACGTGCGTGGAGCCTTTGGCCAGGTTGTCACAGGGCTCGGACGCGACCGTCCGCCTGCTTCGCTGACACGGAGCAGCGACTTCAGCCCAGCACCCGCGTGCTGTGGGCTGGGCGGCGCGGCGATCGCCGCCTGGGCCGCGGAGCTCCTGGCCCTGCTCGCCGAGCCCTCTGCGCACGACGGGGCCGCGCGCCCCCCGCCAGAGTGCCGAAGGCAGGTCGGCCCAGTGCCCGCCGCGCGAGCCGAGCTTGCTGCGTTGGCACCGGTGAGGGGCATGGGGCGCCCGTCGCGCGGCGGCCCGTCGCGCGACGCACGAGCCGTGCCGTGGAGCGGCGGCGGGCCAGGCGCGCCGAGGTCCTCGGTGCGCCTGGCTGCGGTCTTCGGGCGGCGGTCCTCCGCAGGGCTGCGGTCTTCGGGCCCCCCCCTTCGCTTCGGGAGGGCTGTCCCACGGCGGGGCTGCGGCTGTGCGAGCGCCGTGCCACTTCCGGCTTTACTCTCGGGGGGGGTCCTTTCGACGCGCGCTCGCCGGGGCCCCCTCAGCCGAGGATTGGGACGAGTGCGGCGGATCTGACGGCCGAGCACAACCAGGGTTCGGACAAGGCGTTCGCAAGCAGCGGCTAAGGGCTAAGGCTTGCTCGCCCGCCGCGAGCAGGGGCGGCCTGTTCTCCACGTGGGCCGTGGAGCAGTGGGGCAAAGTCTCGAACCCCTCTGCCCCAGCTGCGATCTGACCAGCGCAATGGGCTTCGTCCATTCGGTCTCACAGTGCGGACCCGACCGTCGCGAAGATGCCACTGGAAACGCCATGCCAGCTTTCTCAGGAAATGCGGTATGGCCCTTGCTTGCGGCTTGAAGGTTCTGGTCAGCGTGACCTTCAGGCTCTGGTCGCGGACAAGACCTCTACGTAGTTGCCGCTTGAGCGCGCCATGCCAGTTTGCTCAGGAGCGACAGTTCGGCGGCCCTGGTCGGCGCGTCCGCCAGGCGCCCGTCGCGAACCTGCGGCTGCCGCTAGAGCCCGCCACGCCGACTTGCTCAGGAATGACGGCGCGGCCGCGAACCGAGTTCAATGCGACTTCCCAGCGCCTGTCGCAAATCAGCCCGCACGAAGGTCGCCGCTGGAGTTTACCAGGCGCCAGTGGTGACTAGCAGCAGTGCCAGACGCTCTACTGTGGTGCGTCCGCGCGCACGCGCCGGGGATCGCGAACGCGATTCCCGACTTGTCCCCTGGCAGGGCTAGGTGTCTGTAAAACCTGGCCGCGTCTGCTGCGCGGCGTCTCGCGAGCCCGCCTGCCCACGCGCAGGAGCGCGGAACTGCCGCGATGCGTGCGGCGGTCATGAGGCAGGCGTCGCGCGAGTGTGGCGTAGGATGCTTGCATATGTCTGTCAGTTGCCATTGAGGGGAGGAGTATGGGGGCACGTTCCAGGGATTGACTCCGACTGGGGCCCTTCCCAGCCCTGACCGCACAGGCGCGCTCGTCCCAGCCGTGTCCCAGCGGGGATTCGCGCGAGGGGCGTTGCTGCCTGGCTGGCATGGCCCGGGCGGCGCCCCAGCCGCTTTCCGCGGGCGAGCGCCCCAGCCGCTCCTCCGACGCGCCCCCGCCGTGCCCCCGCGGGGGGATCCTCTGTCGGGAGAGGTGTCTCCCCCGCCGCTGCCGTCCGCTGGGAGCGTGCGTTTCCGCAGTTTCTTCCAACTCTTCCCTGCGAGACTCCCTGGGAGACTTCCAGTGCCCAGCCGTGTCCCCGCGGGGAAGTGCGGGGAGGGGCACGCTGCGTTTGCCGCGTCCTGGCCCTGCTGTGGTTATCATGGGCATGGGAACGTTTGCAGCGCGCCCCAGCCGTGTCCTTGCAGGTGTGTACGTGAGAGGGCGCGCAGCGTTCGCCGCGCCCTGGTCAGAATGCGTTGTGAGGGGGGCTCCCCGCCCTTTCCTGACCTTCTCGGTGTGGCTTTTGGGCCCTGGAGGTTTCCAGGATCGTTTCTGTGGGGCCTTTTGGCACATTTGTTTTCGGGCTTCTGTCCCGAGGTTTCGGGATTGGCTGCCGGAGATGCTCCTGGAGAAGCCTCCAGGAACCATGGTTTCTCCAGAGGGGTGCTCGAGCCGTAATCCGGGGCTCATTTTGGCACTCGCTTCGAGCTGGGGTTCCTGGCGTTCGAGCCAGCTACCCGGGTGCTCGACTCGAGCTGGAGTCCCAGGTGTCCGATTCGAGCCAGAATCTTGGGATGCCGCCGCGACCTCTGGCTTCGGTCAATGTCCCAGCGATGCCCCCGGGAACATTTCCAGCGCGCCCCAGCCGTGTCCCAGGTGGGATGTACGTGGATAGGTGAGCGGAGATTCGGGATGGACCAGCGTGCCGAGTTTGGTTTCTCAGGAGATGTTCCAGAGGTGCACCGCTGTGTGCAGCCGAATGGTCGAGCACGTAGGCAGACGCCAGTGCTGGCGGCCGCGGCGCGCTGGAGGTGTGCCGCCGTGCTGTACCCAGATGGTAAGCATAGCGGCAGGAATCACGCTTGTGGAGGTGATGCACTTGTTCGTCTTCGTGCTTTCGTGCTGGAGTCGCGCTGGAGGTGGGCCGCCATGCGCCGCCGAGTGGCCGAGCACGGCGCCAGGCGCTGACGCTTGCGGTGCGCGCCGGAGTTGCGGCGCCGCGCGAAGCCGGTTGGCTGAGCATGGCGGCAGGAATCTCGCTCCTCCTCCTCCTCCTCCTCCTCCTCCTCCTCTTCCTCCTCCTCATCCTGCTCGTCTTGGTGGAGTTGCGCTGGATGCAGGCCGCCATTTGCAGCCGGATGGCTGAGCGCAGCGGCCGGCGACAGTGCGGCGGCGATCGAAGGCGCAATTCGTGGCGACGCAGCCGAGGCTTCCCCTTGGCACGACATCTCCCCAGCCGTGCACCCAAGGCGCGCTGCCCTCTGTTACCTGGCCTGTGCTAGCGCCCCAGCCGTGTCCCTCAGGGAGTGTACGTTGAGTGGCGCGTTGCGGCCTGGCCCGCGTCAGCGTTCCAACCGTGTCCCTGAGGGGATGCGTGTTGAGGGCCGTGTCTCGCTTGTCGCGTTCCTGCCGGGATGCGCCATCCTGGCCTGTCCCGCGCTGGCGCCCCAGCCGCGTCCCTCAGGGGATTTTTTCGTTGAGGGGCGCGTTGCGGCCTGGCCCGCATCAGCGCCCCAGCCGTGTCCCTGAAGTGAGGGGGGCCCGCCTTCTGCGGCGAGCGCTAGGCGGGAGTGGACCTCCCCCCAGCCGGGTCCCTGGACTAGTGATGTGCGTTGAAGGGGGCGCGCTCCTGGACGGAGGGCCCCTGCCCGTGCCCCCCACTCGCCGCAAAGAAGAGCACGAGTGCATTTCATAGACACGGAAAGGCGCGCGCGTGCGTCCCTGGAGGGTGGGCGGTTGGGCCGCTTTTCACACATTAACTGTACTGCAAGACACACAGCGTGTGTAAGCTAAGCTAGTTGGTCTGTGTATGCATGTATGCATGTATGCATGTATGCATGTATGCATGTATGCATGTATGCATGCACGTATGTATGTATATGCATGTATGTATGCATGCATGCATGCATGCATGCATGTATGTATGTATGCATGTATGTATGCATGTATGTATATATGTGTGTATGGATGCATGTATGTATGTATGTACGCATGCATGCATGTATGTATGTATGTATGTATGCATGCATGCATGCATGCATGCATGTATGTATGTATGTAGGTATGTATGTATGTATGTATGTAGGTATGCATGTATGCATGCATGCATGCATGTATGTATGTATGTATGTGTGTAGATAGGTAGGCAGGTCGGTAGGTAGGCATGTTGGTAGGTAGGTAGATAGGTAGGTAGGTAGGTAGGTGAGTAAGTCGGTAATGCACATATGCACATATGAATGTATGTATGTATGTATGTATGTATGTATATATATATACATACATATATATATATATATATATATATATATATTATAGATGCAAGCATGCATATATTGTACACATATATACACATACGTGCATGCATGCATGCATGCACGCATGCATGCATGTATGTATGCATGTATGCATGTATGCATGTATATACATACATATATATATATATATATATTTATACGTGTGTGTATATATGCATACCTACAGGTGTGTTAATACAGGTATGCGCGCATCTGCACATGTGTATGTGCAGGTGCCTGTACACAATGGCCAATCCTATTCAGATATTTTTAGAGGGCTGGGGACCCAGGAAAAAACGCCCCCCCCCCTGACGAATTTTGCCCACCCCGGGCTTCTCGGGCAACCCCCCAGACGACCCGGGAGAACCCCACGAAAGCCCGAAGACGACCCCAGAGGGCTCCAGGCGTTCCGGCGCGTTCCCGAAACGACCTCAGAGAGCAACAAGACGGTCCACGACGATCCGAGAGAAGCTATCATACCCCCAATGATCGCTCCAAAACGTCCCAAGAGGCCTCCAAAAGCACTCCCAAGAAGGCCCCAAGAGGAAACATTCATTGATTTTTCATTGTTTTGGGGGGAATTTGGGGGTTCTCTTTTTTTCGGCTTCCCGACGCTCCAAGACGGCAGTCTGTTGGGCGTCCGAAGCCGCCTGGGAGGCTCGAAGATCGCCCCACAACCATCCGAAAGGGCTTTCAGGCAGTCCAAGAGAGCCCCGAGATGTCACAACAGAGTTCCAAGATGGCCCAAGAGAATCCCATGACGGCCCAAGATGACCCGAAGACGCCCTCCGAAGCATTCCAAATCGTGACCCGGTCGTTCAGGCAGACAGCGGTCGGATGCAGGGTGGCCCGAAGAAGCCCCCAGAGACCCCCAGAAGACGCCCAGAAGGCCTCCAGAAGGCCTCAAGAAAGCTTGGAAAGCTTCCTTGAGGCCCCCAGAGGCTCTCTAAAGAGGAGCCTCTGCAAAACGAACAGAGGAGGATGGGGAGAATACGAAGGGTAGGGCGAGGATGAGGAAAAAGAAGCATGGAGGAAGGACAACGAACAACATTTTGAACGGCGATACCCGAAAAGGCAACACGGAGTTATCGCTAAATTGACGGTTTGACCTTCCTGCCATTCCGCCTGCATGCCAAACGTCAAGAACCAAGGTGCATGGCGCGAAGCGCCAATGCAGTCTCGTGAAGATATATGTATATACATAAACCGATATATATATATATATATATATATATATACGGATACGTATACACATAGCCGTATACATACACATACATACACCTAGTTACATACATAAACCTAATGGTATTCGGCCCATCCCGCCACAGTGCCTGGGTTGTGGGTCATATGCCTCTGGGATGTTCGTTGTGATGTCGCGGAGGGCCTCTCAGGGGGCCTCTTGGGGGCCGTTTTGCGGCCTTTGGGTGGCCGTTTTGGGGCTTCTTGGGGCGTCTTCGGGGCCTCCTAGGGGTCTCTTGAGGCCCCTCCCTGGGGGGCCTCTTAGGCTCTCCTTGGGGCCTGCTGGGGGCCTCGTGGGGCGGAAGACTCGGATATTCGGTTTGTACTCCCCCTCTTGGGCCCTTCTTGGGGTTGGCTTTGGATCCTCCTGGGCCGTCTTGGGGGCTTCTGGGGCCGTCTTGGAACCCTCTTGAGGGGTGCTGGGGCCCTCCTGAGGGCCTCTTGGGCCCTCTTGGGGCGGTCCTGGAGGCCTCTTGGACCGTCTTGAAGCGTCGGGAGCTCGGAAAGTCGAGGACTCCCAAATCATTGAGAAATCCTTGACACTCAATAACTGTTGCCTCTAGGGGCCATTTGGGAAGGCTCTTGGGGCTCTACTAGGGCGTCTCGGAGGCCTCTTAGGCCGTCTTGGGACCATCTTGGGAGTCTTGGGAGCGATCTGTGGGTGTCTCGGGGCCCCCTTGGACCGTCTTTGGGGCCTCTTGGGGCCCTCTTGGCCCCCGTTCTGGGGCCCTCTTGGGTCCGAAAAAGTCATGGGACAAGATGCCCTGGAGCTCAGGGGTCACGCGACGAGCCCCGCCAAATCTGGCAATTTGCGGTCGTGGCCCCTGAAAACATTCTTCAGGACCGAGGACTGAGGCTTCACGGAGGAGGCAAAGGACGTGAGGACTCGCCCACTCCCTGCCCAGCGGCACGGTGGCGAAGGATGTGGTCGAAGCTTATTCGTGTACGCTTTGTGGTGCTGTGTCTGTGGTGCAAGCGGTGCGGCGTTAAATGTGGTGAGCGGTATACAGTCGGGGCGCTGAAGAAGGAACCCTTGTCGTTTGGGAGGGGCTCCGTGTTCCTTGGTTCTTTTGCAGTGCTCCTCGGAGTTTCCTGTGGTTTTCCATGGGCAATCGAAGTTTGCCTTTTGGGAAAAAGGGGCCTCGCTCCTCACTTAGGGTTCCTTAGGTCCACGCCCCGACTGTATGTGGTGCAGGCCATGCGGTAGGCAGCGCGAGGCGTCCACGAGGCGCCCAAGGGCGGGCAGCAGCCAGGCGTCAGGCGAACCCCCGCCGCACCCTTCCGGCTACCTAGGCCACCCAAAGAAGATGCCCCCAAGGGCAAGCACTGCTCGTGGACTGTGGACCCAGACCTCCAACGTGTTGAAAAAAATCAAGAGGGAGGTTTTTTTCAATTTTCGGCCTCTAGGAGCCCTCGCCGGGCCCCGGGACCGTCAAAAGACGACTCAGGATGAAAAGCTGGTCCTGGGGAATGGGTCGAGACTTCTGGGGACCGCGTATTGAAAAAAACACAACGTCGGATCTCTGGGGAATAAGCGCTTTGATCCCTGGGGCCCTCCTGGAGTTCCTTCTGGCCTTCTGGAGCCCTCTCGGGCCATCTTCGAGACCCCTTGATCTGTCTTGGGGCTGTCTTGGTCCGTCTGGTCTCAGAGGCATCTGGAGGTAACTGGGAGCCCTTCGTAGGCCGTGTTGGAATGCATGTTGAGGAGCGATCTCGGGGGGGATTCCCAGGGGAGTTTGGCAGGCTTTTCAGGGGGGTAGGATCGGTCGGTCGGTCGGCCGGTTGTAATAATTCTTAGGGGAGTCACACTGGTAGGTATGATGATTCTTGTGCTTCGTGCGCTTGACGTATGGCGTGCCTAGTATCCGGTCCTGAAAAACCTCTTCATGAATGCCGTTTCTTATCGTTGCCCTTGATATTGCGATCGTGTATTTGTGATTCGGAAGTCGGCTTTCGGTCGGGGCTGAAGGTGAAGCGGACGCTGGAGAGCCAGATGACATCTACAGGTTGCCGCTTGCCCTTACCTGGTGTTGGCAGGAGGGTAAACATGCAGGCGGTGCTGCCGTATGCATCTGCTGGTCTCGTCTCCTTCCCCTCTTTCCCTCTGGCCATCTCCCTCCTCGCCCCATCTCCTCTTGCCCCTCCTCTTGCCCCTCCTCCTCCTCGCTCTCCTGGTTTGCTTATCGACCACGTCCGAGTGGGCTCCCTGGGTATCGCATGGGCGCCAGGCCCGACCGCTGCGTCTGCCGAGCTTCCCGAGTGCTGGCGACAGTGACGTTAACGACGAGGCTGCCGGCTTCCACTTGCCCTCGCGCCCTTCGCGCTAGCCGAAGCGCGGGTCGCGTTGTTGGGCCTGGGCTCGTGCCCACCTCGTGCCATAATCAGACTATTTCTCCGCCCAGGCTGCGGGCCGGGCACCCGGGCACCCCGGCGCTCGGGCGCCCAGACCCCCGGACAGCCCTGGACCCCGGGCACCCGGGCAGCCGGGCACCCGCGGACACCCCGGGCACCCGGGCACCCGGGCACCCAGCCTCCCGGGCACCGGGGCACCCAGGCATCCTGGGCACCCAGGCTCCCCGACACCCAGGGCACCCGTGCACCCGGACGCCCGGGCACCTGGGCACATCCTCATCGCGCATTCTCCCCATTATTTAGCCTCCTCCTGCATTCGATTCCTCCTCTTCTGGGGCCCCACATGGCTCCTCGTCCTGCTCATTCCTCTCCCTAGTCCTGCAAGGTCCTCGTCATCGTCCTCATGCGCCGTCTGCGCCCAGCCTCCTCCTCCTCCTCCTCCTCCTCCTCCTCCTCCTCCTTCTCCTTCCCCTCCTCCTCACCCACCGATGAAGGGCATGGACGGAGTCAGGGAGGGAGGGAGGAAGGATGGAGGGCAAGAGGGAGGGAGAAGGGAGGGAGAGAGGGTGAGAAGAAGGAGGATGACGAAGAGGATAAGAAAGAGGAGGAGGGGGACAGGAGGAGGAGGAGGAGGAGGAGGGCACGGATGAGGAGGAACAGCAGCGTGAGGAGCAAGATGAACGCGAGCGATTAGGAATCGGAGCAGGAGTAGGTGGTTTGCTCGCTTTCTTTTTTATCGCCACGCTCAGGTTCAAGGTTGCTGCGAATATGAAGCGACTTCGTTCCCACGACTCCCGGGAAAACCGATTACTCAAACGGTTGGCCACCAGCGCGACCATCTTTCTTCGTCTTCAGCTAGGGGGCCCAATCCCACCCGACCTGGGACATACTTTGCCGATACTTGCGGCCGAGACGGCGCGCTTGCTCAATCTCCTGGCGCAAGGGGTGCTGGTGGCGGTGGTTTTTGAGCAGTACGAGCTGGAGTTCGAGGCGCGCCCTGGGCCACAGTAGGCTTGAATTACATCGGTCCAGTATGTCCCAGGCGGATTCTTGGCAAGCGGTGCGTCCGTTGTGGACCGCTGAGAGAGACCAACCAGCTCCAGCTGAGGTTTTTTCATGGAGACCTGTGCAGCCGCTTTGGGGGACATCCCCAGCGGTTGGCCCGCCAGCAGCGCATGCCAGGGATGAGGGGCTCGCCCTAGCAAGAGCGTCGGGGCAGCCTGCGCCGAGGGTGCCGACCTGCAAACCATTGGCGCCGCAACCCGAACTCGCCGCAGAATCGTCAGTGTCTGGAAGTGCCGCGGCCGCTCGTGGTGGATCCGCCCCGCTGCTGCCTGAACTCAGCTCGCGCCGCTCTTCATGCTTGCGGTGCTCGGGGCCGCTCATTGCTCGGCAACAGCGGGGCCCCGTGAGATGCCTTATCCTGGCCGAGTTTGAATGCATTAAAAGGCACCATCATGCGAAGATTTGCGCGCGGTGCAGTGAGGAAGGCGAGATTCGCAAGTACTGGTGCGGCTACATCGAGGCCCCCAGTGCTAGCGCGCGCGGCGCCTTCGACAAGGCCGTCGACGCAGACGCGCCCCAGGCTCCGTTCTTCATGGTGAACAAATCGTTCGGCGTGAATGAGTCTTGGGCACGACGGTTGGCGAGCCGTTCGCGCTCGCACCGCGCTTCTTTTCACGGCGACGCCACCGTCGCACGCGCCTTGGAACCCGACATTGCTGCCGAGCGTCGAGCGTTTGGAGAGGGAATTGGGGTCAGCGCGGGCCCGCCGCCAGCTGTGGTTGCGGGCTTCTGGTCGGCAGGCGGCGTTGGCCGCTTCTTTGCTGGAGCTTTCCTTGGAGGACTTTGGGCAGGGAACGCTTGCGCGACCTTGGGGGTTGCCATCCTCGCCCCCCCATGCCGATCGGAAAACCGCCCATCCAAATGGGCGGGCCGCCGTCATTGACGTCGTCGGAGCCTGGGGGCCGAAAGCCCAGTTGAAAATATGAATTGTTTTATTGTGCTTGCCCGGAAAGCCATTTCTGCGCGGGTGGCAGCGGGCCCCAACTTTCCCCCCCCTCCCCCCCCCCCCACCCCAGGACCTCCTGCGGGACAGCGCCGACTGGTACCTCCCGCTGGTGGCAGAGCGCCGTCTGCGCACGTGGCGTTCCGGCGGAGACCGCCTGGGCGCGCGCGCCATCGACGGCAGCGCGAGGCTCTACAGGCGTGCGTGCGGCGCTCCCTGCGCAGAGGCTGTGTGTTCCAAAGTGTTGGACGTGCTTCTCGTCCGGGGTTGTTCCGAAACTCCTGTGCGCGGGGGTCTCGTGCTTTGCCGCCACCGCCAGGAGTTGATGGCGCGCGAGGCCCTCCCCGAGGAGATCGGGGCGCATCGCGTCCGCGCGCCCCTTTCCATCGGCGCTTTCTTCGTGGTCGAGGTTCGCTTACACTCTAGGCGATGCTTAAGAATACCAAAGTTTTCGGCCAGAGTCTCGATTATTCTTAATGTTTCAATGTAAATCCCACGATTTGAATAGACATTCTGGGTTTTTATTCAAATTCTGAGACTATGATTTTCTTAACCCATGATTTCTAAAGCATTTCGCAGGGTGTAGTAGGGCGCGCAGGGTGGCGGCCTGCCTACTCTGTAGCGGATGAAGCGGTGCAGGCTTATTTCGCGCGCATCGCCGTGCCCGTCGCGCAAGAGCGCGAGCGGTTGCGGATGGAGCGACGGGGCTACGAATGGCGGGCGAAAAGTTTAATATTGGGCGACTGGGCGCCTGGCGTGCCCAGGTCTAGATGCGCATGCGAAACCAACGAAGAATCCTTACCTGCCGTGCGCAGTGCTTCTCGCTCAGCTGGGTTTCTGACGGCCGCGGGCGAGAGCGGGGTCGTGGGCGGACTGCGGGAAGTCCTCGCGGCGGAAACGCTCTCGCGGCGGAAACGCTCTCGCAGCGGTGCTGCTTCTTCGCCGAGATGGCCCATGCGGTCCCCGAGCTGTCCATGCTGGTTCATGACGACGCCTGCCGCGCCCGGGCGTTTGCCCGGTGCCGGTCCGCGGAGGCGGCCCCAGACACCATGGCAGCTCGTCTCGGCCAGTCCAGGTGCATTGTCGATCGGCCCCATAGCCGGGGCCACGTTGACTCGATTTGCCAGGAGTTTTGTTTTCCAGACGTTCCCGCGAACAAGGCGGCGCTAGGCGCATTTCCCTTGCCGATGTGTGAAAGCGTGAACTCTGATTTGTCCCCATTGACCCATGCCATCCACCACGTGGGCCGGTGGGTGTGCTTGTTCGTGGTTCCGAGTGCGTCGACGTCCACAATGGGCTGAAGGCGCTGACTGCGGCGCGCGTTCAGGCCCGCGCCAAGCGGCGCGCCGCGCGCGCGCCGCCCACTGCGCCAGGGCCCCCGCCAGGCCTTCCTGTGGCCGACGCGGCGGCCCCGCCGGATCTTGCAGGATCCTGCAGAGCCAGGGGTGCACTGACCCGGGCTTGGGTGCAGGATCCTGCAACGCCTGATTGACCCGGGGATGGATTGACCCGGGTCAGCAGATCTCCGAGGAGCAGCTCCAGACTCGCGGTCGCAGGGGCATCTGGGGCTTCGAGAGAGCGCGCCCAGGTCGGGGCGCCTTCCGTTCGGGATTGACGGTGCGGCCCATCCTCGGGGAGGGGGGGGCGGGATGACGAGGGAAGCGTTGGCAAGTCCCTCGTCCTCCGTGCTCTATTCCTTGTGGCTCTGCCCATCTCGCCCTTTGCGTCTGCACTCGGCGTGGTCGCTGTCGAGGGATGCTGCGGGGAGGGGCGGGGAAGGTGGGTGGGGCGGGATGGAGAGGGAGAGAGGGGAGAGGGTAAGGCGAGCGGTGGCGGGGAGGGGAGGGGCGGGAAGAGGAAGAGGGAGGAGGGGAGGGGAGGGGAGGGGAGGGGAGGGGAAGGGGGGATGGAGAGGGAAGAGGAGGGGAGGGAGAAACAGGGGAGGAAGGGAGGGGGGGAGGCATGATGGGGAGTAGAGAAGGCCTTGCCGCCTCCCCCGTCAGGTCCAGCCTGCAGTCGCACACAACCTACATCAGCACCCTTGAGAGCTGGAGCCGGTACGTCTCCGAGAATGACCTCCGCTCGGAAGGGGGGGGGTCAGCGAGCGGAGGCCCCTGCGGAGAGAGAGAGAGAGAGAGAAAGAGAGGCATGAGGATCGAATATTGAGGATTGAGTCCTGTTGCAGTGTGGTCTGCCTTCTTTTCGGCCCCGAGTAGCCTCCAGAAGATTTCATTGACATCTGGAGGCGTCGGATGATTTTCTGGAATTTCAGGGAAGGGGTCAGTGCTCGGATTTCAGGGAAGGGATCAATGCTCGGAATTCAAAGATCTAGTCTTTGACAGAGAGAGAGAGAGAGAGAGAGAGAAAGAGAGAGAGAGAGAGACAGAGAGAGAGAGAGATCTAGGTGTGTATAGATATAGGTGTGTATACATATAGGGAAAGAGAGAGAGAGAGAGAGAGGGGGAGAAACAGAGAGAGAGAGAGAGACAGAAAGAGAGAGCGAAAGAGAGAACACGACACTACAGACAAATCGAGTTACCTTCGGTCAACCCCTCCACCGCGCCTGGTTGTAGGTCAGAGGCCTCTTGGGTGTGTATGGGGATCTCTTGGGAGGCCTTTCGGGATCCTTTCTGAAGTGGTTTGGGGTGTTTTGGCGCCTCTTGGGGGTTTCTTGGGGCCTCTTTTGGGCCTCTTGGGGGTCTTTTGTAGCTTCTTGGGGGCCTCTTTGGGGCCTGCTCGCGGTCTCGTAGCTCATCCTGGGGCGCAATGCTCGAAATGTCAGTTCGAGTTCCCCCTTTGGGGGCCCTCTTGGCATTGTCTTGGGGGCCTCATGGACCGTCTCAAGCCTCTGGGGCCATCTTGCGGGCCTCTTGTTGGCATCTTGGACCAGCTCGGGGCGATCTTTGGGGCCGATGAGGGCGTCGGAAGTCCGAGAAGGCGCTGGAGGGTCGGAAGCCCGAAAAGGCGAGAACGTCCCAATACAAAAAACATTCGACAAGCATTGATTTTGGTCTCTTGGGGGTGCTCTTCAGGCTCTCTCGGGGCCATGTGGGGTGAGCCGGAGCGATCTTTGGGCGACTCGGGGACCTCTTTGATCACTTTTGGGGCTTCTTGGTACTGTCTTCACCCGTCTTTGGGCCCTCTTTCTCCAGAAAAATTACGCAGGCACACGCGAGGAGCCCCGGAGCGCTCCAGAGCGCCTGGAACTCAGGGTTGTAGGCCCTTCAAATTTTATTACAAGACTCAGTACAGAAGACTCGAAGGGACCTGAGAACGCTCCACTTCGTGTCTCGGAGCACCGTGGAGGATAGATATGCGTATGTATGGATGTACATGTATAACACATATATATATATACACGAATCTATGTATTTATGTATGCAGAAAGACAAGGCGATACAGAGAGAGAGAGAAAACAAAAAAGCGAGAGAGCGAGAGAGAGAGAGATAGAGAACGAGACAAATATAAAAGGGAGAGAGGGAGCGAGAGAGTGTGTGAGAGAGTGTGTGAGTGTGTATTTGTGCGTGTGTATCCCAGAGGCCTTCGGCCAATCCCGCCAGCATACCTGGGGTTGAGTCAACGGCGTAGTGGGGACGGTCGAAGCCAACACAGCATACCTTGCCATGCTCCTGGGCCTCCCGGGAGTACGGTGGGGATCGCTGCGCCGCGTGCTAGGAAGCGAGAAGCTGTGGTGCGGTCTCCACGGGCCCCGGGACGAAGAGTGAAAAAGCTCGTCCTGGGGGAAGGC